CGCTTGAGCCCAGGAGTTGGAGGTTGCAGTGAGCTAATGATGACACCAATACACTCTAACCTGGATGACAGAGTGAAACCCTGTCTCAAATTTAAAGGAAAAAAAAACAACTTCCCACCAAAACAAAAAACAAAAGCCCTAGACCAGAGGCCTCGCTGGTGAATTCTACCAAATATTAAAAGAATTAAGCCAGGAGCAGTGGCATGCACCTGTAGTCCCTACCACTCAGGAGACTAAGGCAGGAAGATTGCTTGACCTCAGCAGTTTGAGGCTATCATGCGTAATTATTGCACCTATGGACAGCCACTGCACTCTAGTCTGGGCAACATAGACCATCTCTTACAAAAACAGAAAAAGAGGAAGAATTAGCACCAATTCTTCACAAACTCCAAAAAATAGAAGAGGAAGATTTTCCAACTCATTCTATGGGTCTATTATTACCCTGATCCCCAAAACAGATGAAAGCATTTAAGGAAAAGAAAACTATAGACCAATATCCCTTGTGAATACAGACCACAAAAATTCTCAACAAAATACCGGCAAACTGAATCCAGCAACATTTATAAAGGGGTCGATCATACATGATGATTAAGTGGGATACATTCCAGGAATGCAAGGTTGGTTCAACATTTTTAAAAAAATCAATCAAGGTTATACACCACACGAGTAGAATGAAAGGGGAAAAAAACACATCCCGTGGTTTTTGGATGCAGAAATGGCATTTGACTAAATCCAACACCCTTTCATAATAAAAACACTCAGGAAATTAGAAACAGCAGGGAACTTTGTCAATCTGGTAAAGGACAGCTACAAAAAGCCCATGACTAAAATTATACTTTAATGGTTTCCCCTCCTTCTTCTATTCAGCATTGTACTGTACGTATCAGCCAGAACAGTTAAGCAAGAAAAAGAAACAATAGGCATCTAGATTAGAAAGGAAGAGTAAAACTATCTCTGTTTGCAGATAACATATTATATATAGAATATCCTGGGGAACACACACACACACACACGCACACACACACAGACACAGAAAACATGAAGACTAATGAAAGAACTCAGCAAAGTTGCAGGTTACAAAGTTAATATACAAAAATCAGTTGTATTTATATACTAGGAATGAACAATCTGAAAATGAAATTAAGAAAGCTATTTATTTTACTTTAGCATCAAACATAATAAAAGACTTAGGAATAAGTTTAACAAAAGAAGAGCAAGATTTGTACACTGAAAAATACAGTACACCATTGAAAGAAATTGAAGACCTAAATAAATTGAAAAGACATCCTGTGTCTGTGAGTTAGGAAACTTAAATGTTGTTAATGTGGCAATATTTCCCAAATTGATGTACACATTGAGCACAATCCCCATTAAAATATCACCTGCCCCCCCCTCAAAAAAAATCTCACCTGTCTTTTTTGCAGAAATTGATAGGCTGATCCTAAAATTTACATGGAAATAGAAGGGACCCAGAATAGCCAAAACAATCTTGTAAAAGAACAAAAATGTGAAGGACTCACACTTCCAGATTTTGTAACTTGCTACAAAACTCTAGTAATCAAGACATTGTGGTCCTGGCTGGCATAGGGATAGACATAGATCCATGGGGTAGAATTCAGAGTTCAGTTGATCTTTGACAACAATGCCAAGACAGTTCATTGTGGAAAGAATAGTCTTTTCAACAAATGCAGCCAGAACAACTGGATATCCACATGCAGTAGAATGAAGTTGAACCCCCATCTCATACTGTGTACAAAAATTAACGAATTAATTTGTTAATTCAAAATGATTCAAAGACCTAAATGTAAGACCTAAAACTATAAAACTCTTAAAACATAGGAGTAAATCTTCATGACCTTGGATTAGGCAATGGTTTTGGAGATAAGATATCAAAAGTAGAAGCCACAAAAGAAAAAAATAGATAAATTGGATTTTTTCAAAATTTGAGAACTTGTTCTTCAGAGGCCATTACAAAGAAAATGAAGACAGTCTTCATTCAGCATGGGAGAAAATTTACAAACCAT